CACTATTATTACTATTGTTATTATTTTCCATACCATTAATTTTAATAAAAATATTTATATACCCCAATTTTCTAAATTGTATAAATTCCCAATTCTGCTCTGAGGGCAGCAGTTGAAGTCCTTTCATCCACCCTCAAGATACTTCTCAGATATGTGATCTGATTTCTTCTAATAGTGATATAAATTAAAGCCCAAAGTTCAGCTCAATATAAGTGCATAATAGAACGGTGATATTTTGTATTTAATAATTCAGTCTAAGGAAGCTGCATACCTATGAGTTTTTTTTTTAAAAAAAAATGAACAGTGCATTCACTTGTGCCTTCTAAGTGAGCTCCTTTGATGTTGAGGGAGCCCAGATCCAGTCCCAGAGAAAATTCCCCCAGGTAAGGAAAGGTGTGAACTTGCTCTGTTGCCTCCTCATCGATTAGCCCTATAGGGCAATGCTGTCATTTTCCAAGAACCATCACTTTTGACTCTGACTCCTCTAAAATCAGATAATTATTATGAGACTAGGATCCAGGTCCTCTGAACAGCACATGCAACCCAAATGTCATATTGGCATCACCTTTTTCTTCAGTTTTGGTACATATCAATCCTACTTCTCATGGCTCCATTGAGCCCCAAACACACTCTCAAGCAAATGAACAAAAATGGGATGGAAGGGACCATGGAGTGTTCTTCAATTATTTTTAAACCTAAATTTAAGTCATAGTCTCCACTTATTTTATTATTCTCTACCTTACTTAACTTGATTACTAAACACCAAGTCAGTTTGCATCTGTGCTTTCCACATTACCGTTGCTGCACCCACTCATTACACAAAGTAATTGTCCGTTTCTTGGGGAATAGCAAGAGTTTGACATTATTTCAAGGTTTCAAGGCACTTTTATTGATGCAGCTTCCACAATTTCCTCATTAACTGCTTTCTGTGGCTCTTGGGCAAAGAACCACATTATTAAATATGAATTTCCTTTCTTTTTAGGGCTGCCAATTTTGCCATTTTCAGTCTCACTGGTCTCCTACTCTTTAGTGCACCTGTGGTTAATTGATTTCTAATTTTGCATGTTCATCTTCTATCAGGTCCTGTATCAAGGCTACTTGATGGGAGTCCACAGAAATTGGCTCCAGCCCTCAAGGCAAAGCTTAGGAGATGTGGCTCAACAACCACCTTTTCCACTCATTGCCGGGAACTTTCAATGCATTGCTCACCAACAACCAGGCTCAATATTGACTCCCTGAGAGACCCTCCAAGGATGCTTTTTCACTGCCACAATTCTTTGCATCTTGATTACTTAACATTTTCTGTATTATATTTCTGCATCTAACACAGAAATTGTTAAATCTTTCAGTGGGTTTTTTTCTTCTATTCTTCTCATCCTTCACTGTAAGGATCCTTTCTCAGAGGAATTGTATCACAGATTGGGAGAAGAAAAAAAGACAAAAGAGAAAAAGTTGGTGAAAAATAGGCAAATGTTGAAAAGTCATATTTAGTTTGTGAAACTAGGATGATTTTATATGTAACTAAGTCTGAGTGTTTTGTTTTGTGAAAACAGATTTTAAGTTACTGTGTTATTCAGGGCATGGGAAAATGCTTGTGCTTCAATCTGAAACCATCTCTAAATCTCTACAGCAACCATGGCAACTGGATGCGACACCTGAGAACCAACAGAACTTACAGAATAACCGAGTTGGCAGGGTCCTGCTAGTCCAATCCCATGCTGAAGCTGGAAAGCCCTACACCATTCCAGACAAATGGCTTTCCAAATTATTCTTGAAAACTTCCAGTGATGGAGCACCCAAAATCTCTGGAGCCAAACTCTCACAGTTACTGCTATTAAGCCACGTATCACCTATTCTATACCTGTGCATTCCTTTTTTCTTGCCTAAGTGTAAAGCCATATTGTTCTCACCACTGAAATGTAGAGATAAGTAATGAAAAAATATGCCCCCCCCATGAGATCCTTTGTAACTGAAGCAGCAGGAAACATTCAATGTAACCAACACTCACAGCTTTTGGAACCCAGTTCTCCTTCTCAATTTCAGTTAGTCTTCTGTGGTAAGGCCACACTTGGACTTCTGCCTCCAGTTTTGGTCACCACAATGTAAAAAAGATGTTGAGACACTAGAAAGAGTGCAGAGAAGAGCAACAAAGATGATTAGGGGACTGGAGGCTAAAACATATAAGGAACGGTTGCTGCAATTGGGGATGTCTAGTTTAACGAAGAGAAGGATGAGGGGGGACGTGATAGCAGTGTTCCAGTATCTCAGGGGCTGTCCCAAAGAAGAGGGAGTCAAGCTATTCTCCAAAGCGCCTGGAGGCAGGACAAGAAGCAACGGATGGAAACTAATCAAGGAGAGAAGCAACCTAGAACTAAGGAGAAACTTCCTGACAGTGAGAACAATTAACCAGGGGAACAAGCTGCCTCCAGAAGCGATGAATGCTCCAACACTGGAAGTTTTTAAGAAGAGACTGGACAGCCATTTGTCCGAAATGGTATAGGGTTTCCTGCCTGAGCAGGGGGTTGGACTACATGACCTCCAAGGTCCCTTCCAACTTTATCATTATTATTATTAACCCTCAATTAACACTGCAGGGATATTTCCAACTCTGCATATATTCTCTGTCTTGAGAGAAATAGAAATCACCTGGATGAGGGAGGAATACTTCAACGAAAGCCAAATCAGTCTGTGCTTCATCTGAGTGCCACAAAGACCCACCAGGAAGCAGAGCAGCTGTTTTCCCAAAACCCACCCATAAAAATGTGTCGCCCATGATAGCAGTGCCAACCCCAGATTTCCACCACTTAGTTCTAAGGGCTCTTCCCAAAGTCCAGCCATTGGTGAACATGGCCGAGCATTATCATCGTGGACTGTAGAGTTTGGACAGCAATTCAGTAAGGAATTTTCTTTGACCCATTCGGACACTGCAAGTCCTGAGCCTCCCATCTTTTATAGCCATAGCAGGTTAGATGTTCAACTAAGTCTGCTGCTCTTCTCAGGGCTTTTGTAACAGCTAACAAACAGGAGAGTTTCAATACAAGGAAGATGCACCGTTGCCTTAGGTAAGAACTATTTTGCAACAGTGCACTGAGGTGATATGATGCAATCATTATAACTCCATAAATAGAGAGCCATGTCTGCCCCAGGAGTAAGATTTGGTGCAGAACCAGTCTCAGCATGAAGATCCTTTATCTGCTGTTCGCATTTCTTTTCCTTGCATTCCTGTCTGAACCAGGTAAGAAACAAAATTACTGATAATTTACAAAGGATTGGTAACTCACTCCTTTTTAAACAAATACGATCATCACTGAAAGCAGGATAATCTTCAACATCTTTTTGTTTTACTTTTCAGAAATAGCTTTGAACAGTATAGACAATTGACAACATGAGCCTCCAAAGATTTGAAAAATATGCCATTGATTTTTCTTTTGATTCACAATTCTTGAAAGAACTTTATTGGGGGTTTTGTTGTTATAGCTTATTTTTGTTGATTTGCTTCACTTTAACATTGGTTTACCAAATTCTCAGCTCACTCAAGGTCTTCATCCAAAACACACAATGCAACTGGCCACTGTAACTCAGCAAGGATCCATGGCAATACTGGAGAGAAATATATCACAGCAAGGTCTATCCTTCATATGAAATAGATGTAGGCTTACCAGCTAATTCATCTTTGAGTCAGACTTCAAACCTGGGTTAATGGCTGATTTATTTGAGCTGCTGCAGGAGATCAGCAGAGATGGATCTGTGTGGTCAGAGAAAAGTTGCTGTGGTCCTAGGAATCCTGCAATTCTTGGAAGGATGCTTCCATTCCCATCTTGCATGAACGGTTACAAAAGCTGATGGAGTTAGCAGAGATGGCTAAACTGACAGTTTTGATAAAAGAAAAGAATATAAGTACTTTTGTTTGTACTTGGATACTGCTTCTGGACTTTGTGTTATAATTTGCTATAACTTGTGCTATAATTTGCCATAATTTGTGCTATAATTCTATAATTTCACACAGTCTCATTCTTCCCTTTTGGTTTATTTATTTATTGTAGTGATTACTTTGCCACTGATGTCTTCCAGCTAATGTAGTTGCTTGGGCAGAAATAGTATAAAATCAGATTTAAGCTTTTCACTAAGATCTTGGAAAGAAGCAGAAAAAAAATTCTTAAGATTATTTTTTCTCAAGTTCAATACCATTTTGAATACCATTTAAATACAACTTAGAATAAGAATGATTTTGTCTGATGACTTAATATCAGCACAGCCTGGATCTTGATAAGGATAAATATGCCATTAATTTTTCTTTTGATTCACAATTCCTGAAATAACTTTATTGGGGGTTTTGTTATTGTACTTTATTTTTTTTTGATACGCTTCACTTTAGTATTGGTTTACCAAATTCTCAGCCAAATATGTTTTGTTTGAATAAGGAGGCACAATGGAGAAAGAGTTTGGTCTAGTGATTAGAGCAAAACACGACAACTCTGGGTACTGAGTTCCAGTCCCACCTTGGGCCTGAAAGCTGACTGAGTGAATTTGGCTAAACTGACAGTTTTGATAAAAGAAAAGAATAAAAGCATTATTGTTTCTGCTTGGAAACTGCTTCTGGACTTTGTGCTTGAGGTGGAAAAAAATGATACTATGATTTTGGGGTTTACTGATTAGACTGATTTGTTGATAGAGAAATGGCTAGTTCATACTAATACAGAAATGCAAAAAGTTGAGATTCGATTTTCATGCCTTATTTTACTGCAACAGGGAATCGGAAGTCAACACCTTTTGTTTCTCCCCCCCTTTCCACATTTCCCCTTTTCCTCTTTCCCTATAGTTGTTCCTTACTATTTGCTTTTTATTTTGATATTTTTATGTTGTAAATGAATAAAAATATAAATTGATAAAGGAATCCTGCAGTTCTGTAGAAGAAGGTAGTGTCTTGGAAGGGAAAATATATTCAAATATTAAGGAATCTTTACTCATCGTTTACCTGTCTCCTCTTTTTCTTTTCATAGGGAATGCCCAACGACAGTGTCATCGGGTAGGCGGATTCTGCCGTGTCGCCCAATGTCCTCCTACAACTTCTGAAATTGGTCAGCTGGGCTGTGAGCCACTACTGAAGTGCTGTAGAAGGTAAGACAACTCTCCTCCAATAGAGATACTACAGATCAGTACATAATGTGATTCTCTGCCTGATATTGTTTGCATTCGCAAAGCTTTGCAAAGCAAAGAATTTACTTTAAACTCACTTTGATCAACTTATTATTTTTTTCTCATTTGTATAGGGAAAGGGGAAAATAATGCCATCTCCATCTACGACCATGGATATCTTCAAGACATGGCCAAGGACCTGAGATTGCCACCTGCTATCGCTTTATCTTTCTTTATATAAATAAAATTGCTACCCATCAAACTCTAAAACATTTGTGGAGAGAGAGGGGGGAGGGAGAGAGAGGGAGGGAGGGAGAGAGAGGGAGGGAGGGAGAGAGGGAGAGAGGGGAGGGAGAGAGAGCGGGGGGAGGGAGAGAGAGAGAGAGGGAGGGAGAGAGGGAGGGAGGGGGAGGGAGGGAGAGAGAGAGGGAGGGAGAGAGGGAGGGGAGAGAGAGAGGGGGAGGGAGGGAAGGAGGGGGAGAGAGGAGGGGAGGGGAGGGAGAGGGAAGAAGCGAGGGAGGGGGAGAGAGAGGGAGGGAAGGAGGGAGGGAGGGGGAGAGGGAGGGAGGGAGGGAGGGGGGTGTTGCCTGCTCTTCAACCACATATTATGCTATAATTTCACACACTCTCATTCTTCTCTTTTGGTTTATTTATTTATTGCTTTGGGATTACTTTGCCACTGATGTCTTCCAGCTAATGTAGTTTCTTCGGCAGAAATAGTATAAAATCAGATTGAAGCTATTCACTAAGATCTTGGAAAGGAGCAGAAGAAAAATTCTTAAGGTTATTTTTTCTCAAGTGAAATAGCCTTGGATACAACTTAGAATAAGAATGGCTTAATATCAGCACAGCCTGGATCTTGATAAAGGAAATGAAGATGTAGCAATAGGAAATCTGCAAGAGAGAGAGAGAGGATCCTTTCCTGGCCCAATCTTTTTGTTAAATAGACAGACCAACAGATGTTATGAAATTGATTAGATACCATCTAAACAAATAAATAGACTACACAATAAAACCACATTATCAGAGGTGAGTCACATAGGACCTGATGCAGACAAACAAACACAGCCAACATGTGAGGGATACTATTGTGGACACTATTACACCTATGCTAATAAAGGGGTGTGATCTAACAATGTACACAGGTGAAAACATAATTTGCACAACCAGTATCCATACAAGCCTGAACCTATTCAATTCCTCCCCCCTCTCAACTTTCATTCACACACTTTCTACTTCTCTTTCATTACAATGTCTACATTTATAAGGGGATGTAAATATTTAACCTGTGGCATAAATATCCTATAAAATGTTAAAATCTCAACTATGAATCAGACTTCTCTGAAAATAATTATTAAAATACAAATAGTAAGTACCAGAGTAGGTCTAGGGCCAATAGTTAACATATATCCATTCTTTATTAGCCTTTTAATGCAGCATTTTTTACAACACAGGCAGGGTACATGTAACACAGAAATCAGCCAGAAGCATCATGGCAGTTCTAAAGCAAGGGATCTTCACAGCTTGACACTTTATTGTTAAACAACATGTCAGTTTGTCCCCATTTCCCTCTTTGCACATACAGTACTCATTACACAAGATAATTGACCGTTTCTGGGGTAACACCAGGAGCTCAACATTATTTCTAGACTTCAGTGCACTTTCAGAAATACAGCTAGCCTCTGCCTGCTCCCTGCGGTTCTTGAGCAAAGAACTTGTTGTTGTTGTTAATTGCGAAGTCGTGTCCGACCCATCGCGACCCCATGGACAACGTTCCTCCAGGTCTTCCTGTCCTCTGCCATCTTCTGGAGTCCATTTAAATTCACCCCTACTGCTTCAGTGACTCCATCCAACCATCTCATTCTCTGTCGTCCCCTTCTTCTATTGCCCTCAATCTTTCCCAGCATTAGGCCCTTCTCCAGGGAGTCCTTCCTTCTCATTAGGTGGCCAAAGTACTTGAGTTTCAACTTCAGGATCTGGCCTTCTAAAGAGCAGTCAGGATTGATTTCTTCTAGGACTGATCGGTTTGAACGCCTTGCAGTCCAAGGGACTCGCAGGAGTCTTCTCCAGCACCATAGTTCAAAGGCCTCAATTCTTTTGCGCTCAGCCTTTCTTATGGTCCAACTTTCAAAGCCATACATTGCAACTGGGAAAACCATGGCCTGGACTATACGCACTTTTGTTGGCAGGGTGATGTCTCTGCTTTTTAGAATGCTGTCTAGATTTGCCATGGCTTTCCTCCCCAGGAGCAAGCGTCTTTTAATTTCTTGGCTGCAGTCCCCATCTGAGGTGAGCAAAGAACTACCTTACTAATAATTGACTTTCTTTTCAGATTGGCTAGTTTTGCCATTTGTAGCCTCACTGACCCTCTAATACTCACTGCCTGTGAGGGCAAGGTGGGCAGGGGGGAGTCCTCAGAAAGGGGCTCCCCCCTCAAGGCAAAGAGCCCTTTCTAACTCCAGTTCTGTCACTGGCAGGAGAAGAAAGGAGGTTTGGGTCTAGTAAACCCTGCAATGTTCTCCTCTCTTCTCCAGCCCTTCTTGTTCAGCTGAGTCAAAGAGTCCAACGGAAGAGTGAGAAATTCCTACACCTGCTGGCTCTTCCTGATGATGCAAGGAACTAAGCCTGTTGCTCCTGTACATCAACACATACTTCCCCGAGTTCCCCCAGGTGGCAGCCCATAATTATGTTCCCGGAAAATATGGGGTAGCCGTATTTAGTTTGCATCTAAGGTGATGTTGACTGCATAACGATCTCATAATAGTGTGAAGACAGGCATTGTGTTGTAAGGTTTTCAGACTGTTCCTCCACCGACCTAGTCTTTATGTGCCCCAGATGAGGAATGGGAGGGAGACAAAATCAGCCCTTGGAGATCGATGCCAGGGGAATCCTGCAGATCCAGTCTGGATGGCCTCCGGAGGGGGCAAGGCTCAGTGGGAGAGCTATCTAGGGGCATCTAGGGGTGCTGGGGAGAAGGGAGGGGTCTTCCACTCAGAGTTGCCCCCTTGATCTTTCCTCTCTCCCGCAGAGCTGCTCTCCCTCCCCCTGTTGGAGACCCTCTGCCCAACTCAAAAGCCCCCCTGCAGCCCCCCCAAGAGCATCTCAAAGGGAGGGTCTCCAGCTCCCCTCACGATAGGGATTGTTTTGGGGAGCCATAGGGGAGCCATTCAGAGCCCCCCCAAATGCTCCTCTCTCGCTTCCCCCCTCCCTCCAGGTCCCGATAGAGCAACGGGGGATTATGGGGTGGGGGTTTCTTGGCCTCCTCCCCAAATTCAGAGCCTCCCCCGGAAGGGACCGAAGCTCAACTCCGGCCTGACTTTGAAAGCCTCAAATTTGAGATTTGGGGAGAAAACTTGAAGTCTTTGAAGAAGCAAAAATACTTTGGCCAAAATGCAGCTTTTTCCTTGTGTGGATTCAGGTCTGAAAATGCCTCAGTTTCCCTCTTTCTCTTTCGCTTTCCCTCCCCTTCCTCTTTCCATGCAGCCGCTCCGACCCGGCCATTTTGGAGGGGGGGGGCGATAGAGGGGCCCGGCTGCGACTCCCCACCTCTGCTGCAATCGGGAAAGAGGGGGTCCCTCTCCGCCCTCCGGGGGGGGAAGTGGGGAGGGAAGGGGGAGGAGACCACGCAGAGATCGAGGCTGTCGCTGGCTCCCGTCACTCTTACCGTCTGAAGAGCTAGCAGCTTTCTTCCCCCTCCCCCCCCACGAGTCTCGGGGGTGATTCCCAGCCCCCTCCTCCCCCAAACCTCCTCCTCCCCCCGCCCACCCCCCTCCTTACCGGGGGTCTCCTTCCCCCCTTCGCTTCCGGGGATCCGGGCCAGCGCTCCCACCAGCAGCAGCAGCAGCAGCAGCATCAGGGGGAGCCCGGGGGAGCCCATGGACGCCGCCCCACAAGCGCCCCAGAGAGAGAAGAGACGGAGACGCGGAGGCTCCCAGCCCCAGAGGCGGAATTGGGGGGAGGGGGCGTTTTCCTCGAACTTCGGAATTGGGAGGGCCCAGAAGCAGGAGGACCAATCGGAATTCTCCCTTCCGCAGCGTCATCGGTCTCCGGGCAGAGTCTCCCTTGACTTCACCCGATGGAGGAGAGAGTTGGGCGCAGAGGGAGAAGCGGAGAAGCGGAGAAGGGGGGGGATTTTATGGGGGGGGGAATCAGCCCTGGGACCCCCTCCCCAGAATCGACCCTCTTGAGGTTGGCTCCGTTCCTCTGGGTGGGAGTGGGAGGGGATATTTTGCCCAAAGAAGAAGAAGGAAAAAAATCCATATCCATGGACGGGATCTATAAGAAGATCCGCGCAGGTTTTCTCCCTTGTGAAAGATCTCAGTGCTATTTTAAGAAGGATGGAGGGAGGGAGGGAGGGATGGACAGCATAGTAAACCAAAGAATAAATTTATAATTTATAAAATAACCCGGACAGTTGATAGAAATTCTGTGGACTTCAGTAATTCTATGCCCTTAACCATTAAAGTCTAAAAACTCCCCCCCCCAAACTATCCCAAAAACCACACATTCTTTTTTTTTATGTTTCACTACATCCATGGAAGACATTTTTTCTAGGACATTCGGGTTGTGGTCAGTTCCGCAAAGGCGGGTCAGGCAGATCCTCCATTCCCAATTCTGTTCAAAAGAGCTTTGGGGGTCCAGAGGGGGCCTGAATCCTTCCAAAGCAATGGGGGGGGGACTGGAAGGGTCAGACTCCCCCCTGGCTCAGCACCAGCCTCGGCAGGCCAGAGCCGGGTCCACCCCCCCCCCGCAGCTGAAGGAGGCTGCACCACAGTTGTGTACATCCATCCAGTCGCACAAAGTGGGTCCCAGATCCAGGCAGCGTCTGGGGGGGGGGCTCCATCGCTCGCCTGATCAAAGCAGAACTCCTGGACTCTTTTCCTGTTTCCCCAGGAAGATTTTGATTTTCTCTGAGTTCCTCCTGCCCCCCCAGCCCTCCACACACACACACCCCCACAGACACACACAAACACACAAAGGAACTTTGTTTGTTTCCACAACCCCCAACAGCTGGAGAAGTGCTGGAGTTTCGCTTCCCCCCCCCCCCGGCCTGAAGCGCTGGGCTCCCCCGAAGCGGAACCGAGGAACTGGCCCTGATCCAGCAGGCAACAAGCCCGGATTCTTCCCCGGGGCAGCTCCGGGACTCTCCCGCTTCTCCCCGTGGCTGAGTCTCCCCCTCGGTCCTCCGACCTCCCCGCTTGAAGCGGTTGAGGGGCCCCTCCCGACCCCCGAGGAGACCCCGGACAGCCCAGGGAAGAAACC